ATTATTTCCATCACAACGTAGGACATGGAATTATGAATCGAATATTTCTCCTTCAAAATTATAAGTTACTCCAATTCGTGCTAAACTAATGATACTGCCACCCATGGCCTCCATAAGGCGTGAGTGGGACTTAGATTGACCACAATGAGTGCCTAGAAACAACTAAATTTCCTTTGAAATTACTCACCCCAGTTGTCCTTTTTGCCTTTCTTGTCGTCATCACATTTGTCACCCCAGTTGCCCTTTTTGCCTTTCTTGTCGTCATCGCATTTCTCACCCCAGTTGTCCTTTTTGCCTTTCATGTCATCATCGCATTTCTCACCCCAGTTGTTGCCTTTCTTGCCGTTATCCCAGTTCTTACCGTCGTTGCAAGGTTCCGGAGGAGACGGTTTAGAATTACACGAGGCATCAAAAGCGCTCACTGACAACAAAAAAGATTTTCAAGCTTTATCGAGGTATGAACCGCTGGATACAGTATTCATGATGATAAACGTAATTAAGGCAAGAATATTTCTTTCTTCCCGAAAAAAAATGATTCCCTATACAAAACGCACGTGGTCTTGTTTTTGGGTTTGTTTACGCATAAGAGAGATCCGCCCGCGGTTTGATCTCTTTACGTACTAACACTGCCATCAGAACGAAAAAAGGCACAAATGCTGTATAAAGTACGCATAGTTGTGCCTTTTTTCGTTACGAGGGCAGAATAGGCCTTTTCTAAAACCGTATTAAATATTATATAATTTTATTTTTAAACAAAGTCCTTGTTAATACTGTTTTGCAGCTTTATGGTTGACGTTTGCCTAGAAAACTTTAGGCCCGTAAGAACTAAATAGTTATAGTAGTTAGAAACAAATGAATTTCAACAATACATTACAATTTTTCTTGTGGATTCCTATATGTATACATACAACATATATATTAGGTAAGTATACTTCACTAAAACATTAATTTCTCTTCTTTTATATTTTACAATATCTTATCAAGACCCTGCTCAGATCGTAGATACCAGTAGTAAAGGGCAGAAACGTCAGAAAGGTAAGTCGGTACAAAAAGAAATGCTGCAATGCAAGAGATTTTCTATGTAATACATACTACCACGCCGAAGAATAAATTGCGTAAGGAAAGCGATGAGAGTCGGGTTTCAGTGGTCCATTTTACATATTAATAATTACATACCTTCATTTTCTGCCACGAGAGCGAGCGTCTGAAAACAGGAGACAATATCACATAAGCTGAACTTTGTAGTTTAAAGCCGAAAACTTTTTTCCTGCTTAAAAAACGGTGACAGGGACCATTGATCGTACCAGACAAGTGCCTCGACCGTGAGTTTGTAGTGTCTATTGTCGCTAGGGACTCCGATAACAATTTGACTATTTTACATAGTAAAAAAACAAATGTCGATGCAAATTCAGTTCCGATTTTTACGGCCTACAATAAAAATCATTTAGTAAATTGTTACAGTACCTAACGTCTACTTCGTAACACGTATTGTGATGTAAAACAAATTTATAAGGGCTCATGGGCTGGCCGGAGTTTAGAGTCAAAACATCGGTTTGACAAATTGTCAGACTAAAGTAAACTAAAATTAGATGCCTTTTTGGATCAACACCAATAATCATTATAATATCTACTGTCATATTTTCTTGGAGTAGACAAGAGTCTACAAGAGTACAGCATGGGGAAATATACTGATTGACACGAGAGGTACAGTACAGCAATAAACAATAAATAAAAATAAAATAAAATTCTTACCACCAAGACGACGCCGAAGAAAAGGACGACCTTTGTAGAACTCAGCATTTTGAAGCTTTTCTAAGTTGAAGTACTTGAATTACATTCGCGCAGAGTTTATATACGAAAATTATCGTCACGGTAAATTCTTTGACAATAAATTGTTCAAAAATTTGTTTAAATAATTGCTCATCATTGACGTTTATATTTTTGACTAAACAAATAGGTATGTCCACCGCAAATTCATATTTGTATTAATAATTGTATTTTATCGGCGGAACCGTATCGTTGCCAACTTTATATTACTTTTGACATGAGATCAACTAATCCCATTTCAACTAATTATCATTGCTACTAAATTAAACACAAAGCAAGACTGGTAAACTGAATATTAGGCCTGGCCTCCTCGTGAGCGTGGAGGGTAAGAGTGAGTGAGAGAAAGGGAGATAGCGCAGCTGTTCATGGAATATAGCTGAGTAACTAATTATTATAAGTTTCCTAGTTTCCTCTAAAATTATTGTAAGGATACCCCAATAGTCTGCCCATGTAGGGCAGAACACTCCGTTGAACGCGAGCAGTACATGACCAGCCAATGTGGCATAAAGAGCGCTTCAGACGTCGAAACCGCTAGATTGGTTTACTTCAGCTACTTTCACAGTCTAATGACATACGGCATTTTGCTTTGGGGTAATGCCGCCGATATCAATAGAATCTTTGTCGTGCAGAAACGTGCAGTTAGGGCAATTTACAATCTGGGCCCCAAAGTATCTTTGAGAGATAAGTTTAAGGAAATTAACATTCTTACACTAGCCTCACAGTACATTTATGAAAATATAATTTATGTTAAAAGGAATAGTAATTTCTTTATGAAAAATAGTGACAGACATAACATTAATACGAGGAATAAAAATAAACTAGCTTTTCTTGATAGTCGTCTTCACAAAGTCAAAAAATCATTTAAGGGGCAATGTATACGCTTGTATAACAAGATTCCGGTTGATATACAAAATTTGCCTTTCACGAGGTTTAAAAGTATAGTGAAACAAAAACTTTATACTAAAGGTTATTATACAACTTCTGCGTACTTGGATGACAATAATCCGTGGTAGTAACCCGTTTAGCTCATGGAGGTAGTCTCGATCTCGATGTTTCAAATAAAAAAAAAATATTGTAAATGTTATTTACAAAGAGCAACCCCTAGAGTTTCTTGCTCATTCTTCTCAGGGGAATCTGCCTTACGAATGAGCGGTAGAGTTTAACCATTGTGACGATTTCAAGTGTAATAATGCTTACCTATGAAATAAAGATTATTTTGAATTTGAATTTGAATTTGAGCATTTTAAACAAATTATTTTAGGGGCAAGTTTATAGGCACTTCAATACTAATAATTATCACAATAGATCAATTGCTGACCTGAGTGATGAAAGGCCGTACAGGTACTGAATAAACCAGCCCAAGTACTCTCTAATGCTAGAGCATATCGTAACCTGCTAACTGGAATTTTTTTTAAGTACCTACCTATTTGCCCAAACAGTTTTACAAAGTTATCTTTGGTTTTCCTGAATAACTTGTGTTGAACGCTATAATCCTGCTGTTCTGTTTGTACAGATGTATGTGAAAAAGAGTACATTGTGTCTGGATTGTTATTTTTGGATAATAGCCTCTACTTGATATAAAGTATATTTGACATTATATCCAAACATACGTAATAGACCAAATGCAAATAATCCATATCGCATATCAAGTTCAGGTTCGCGATTGCTACATGTGTAAAATGAAACTATTTTGTCTTGAAATAAAATGGGTACCGAAGTATTAGTTTGTATGAAAAAACCAAAATTGTATGCAATTAAGCCGAAAAAACGTTTGAGCTCCAATCCAGTAATACCTACATGACACATGTTTTTGTAAATATAAATAAAATACAATGAATATAAATTAAAAATAATAAATATAAATATATTTAAAGGACAATGGACAAACTTACAGGTATTTTTCAATCGGTTGTTTTTTATTTCTCTTTTTAGAGAACCCTTCGCAATATTATCTCTTTTTAAACGACTTTCAAAAAAAAAGTGGAGGTTATACGTTCGGCGGGTAAGAATGTTTTCAAAGTACTCTGTCAATTGTGAACCGATTTTGAAAATTCTTTTTTGTTTGAAACCCTTTCAAACAAAACAGAATTTTCAAAATCGGAAAGGGTACACTCTCGTAGTGGTCCCATTGTCACCAAGTCAGAATCTGGTAAGGGGATCCCATGGAAAATGGGGGAAATCCTCAAATTTTATAGGCCTGTCTGTGTATTTCTCTATCAATTGCGGACCGATTTTGAAAATTACTTTTTTTTGAAAGAGGTGGTCCCTGATGCTGTTCAGGGTTCGTTTCAGTTATCACAAATTACCTACTAAAAGTCGACTTTTCACTTGATAGAAAGTGATCAACAAATCATCTTCACCACTTAGAATAATGACGCATAGAAACCCAGCCCGCACACGCTAAGTGAGGCAAGTTAGAGGCTTCCCAAACGGCCTACACGAGCGGGCGGGCGGTCAGTGCTCAAGATCAAATTGCACCGCGAACAGCTCCAAAATTTTTGCTAAAAATGACGAAATGTGCGGTAAATGGGTTTCAAAATAGAACAGGCAAACATCAAATAGACACTAACATCACATTCCACAAGGAAGTAACGCGTTTCAACTTGTATTTTTATATAAATATTCACTAAAACCGAAAATTAATTTCGTTGCAACAAGACACGAAAATGTTGCAAAGTAGGTAACGGATTTCTTTCTCCCGATTTTGCTATTCTGTTTCAAAATAATTATATGACGTAATTTTTTGTGAGACTAGGCAATATCGCGATGGCTGCAGATTTTTTTTTATTCTAATGTAAGTGTGCATTTGACCTCCATTTCTGCAAGTTAAATGCGTACAAATGTTGTTTACAAAGAGCAACCCCCAGAGTTTCTTGCTCATTCTTCTCGGGGGAATCTGCCTTACGAATGAGCGGTAGAGTTTAACCAATGTGACGATTTCTAATGTAATAATGCTTACCTATGAAATAAAGATTATTTTGATTTTGATTCTGGGTATCGTTTACGGGGTATATGGTGGTGCTCATTACGAATATAGTACTTATTTCTAAATCCAAGATGGCGGACACAATTTAAAAAAAAATGCAATATGGGTATCCTTTTCGAGGTATTTAGGGATGCTCATTACGTATATGGCACTCATAAACACGACAGTTCTAACAAAAGCAATATTCGTAATGAGCACCCCCAAATACCTCGAAAACAATACCCAACTTGCCATTATTCGAAAAATCGTGCCCGCCATCTTGGAT